AAGGTCTTGTAAGTCATCATAGAATTGATCAATTTCAGCCTCTTCAGCATTGGTGGTTGGTGCATAAACGTTGATTACTGTGATGCTGAAAGGTCTGCCTTGGATTTGTCCTGAAATATTCTATCATTTTTGAGATTGTATCCTAGTACAGCTTTTCCCACTCTTTTGTTGACTATGAGGGCTACTCCATTTCTTCTATGGGATTCTTCTCCTCAATAGTAGATATGATTATCGTCTGAATTGAATTCGCCCATTCCTATCCATTTTAGTTCACGGATGCCCAGGATGTCAATTTTATTCTTGCCATCTCCTGTTTGATGACATCCAGCATACCAAGGTTCATAGATCTTACATTCCAGGTTCCTATGCAGTATTTTACTTTGCAGTATCGGACTTTCCTTTCACTTCCAGGTGCACCCGCAGCTATGCGTCCTTTCAGCTTTGGCCCAACAACTTCATTAGCTCTGGAGCTACTTGTACTTGTCCTCTGTTATTCCTCATTGGCATGTTGGATGCTTTCCAACCTGAGGGGCTCATCTTCCAGCATCATATCTTTTCTCCTTTTTTCTGTTAATGGGGTTTTTTTTCGCAAAGATGCTGTAGTGGTTTGCCAGTTTTTGCTTCAGGTAGGTTGCATTTAGTCAGAACTCTCCACTATGATCTGCCCGTCTTGGGTGTCCCTGCACAGCATAGCCTATAGCTTTTCTGAATTACTCAAGCCCCTTTGCTACGTCAAGGCAGCGATCCATTAATAACATAACTGTCTGTAAAATCTGTTAGGGAGTTTTAGAGTCTGATTTCCTAAAATATGCCTATGGCACCTAAATGGAAGACTCCGAATTCAGAGGCATGCAGGTGTGGTACCATTGGCTAAGGGAAAACAGACAATGGCTATTTTGTTCCTCCCATGCAGTCTTTCTGAGACTATTTAGCTGCCAGATCTTGAGACCAGAGTGCTTTCCAGAACTGTTATTTGGTCTACTCTGCAAGGCTCTTCATTTTTAATGTAAAAAGAATGTTTATTTTACCTAGAAGAAGTTACTTCTAAATTGTGTACTGTACTTGGTTTGTTTTCTCCATGAATAGCTAATTGATGGGATGGATCAGAAATAGCAGATGGAAATAACACTGGCTTTATTACTGTTTAGAACAATTGACATAAAGTGCCTAACTGTGTGTTTTGTCCAGTATCTATACTGCATTGTAGTACATCTGGCTGCAGTTTACTGAATATTTACCATTGATCAAATTTAATTAATCTTAATCCTAATCTTTAGAACATATTTATTTGTTGTAGGGTTACATTGAAAGGATCAAACCAATGGTGAGGGATGGTGTATATTTTATGCATGAAGCTTTGCATGGTCCACCAAAGAAAATTTTAGTAGAAGGTGCAAATGCAGCACTGTTGGACATTGATTTTGGTAGGTATAAAGACTGCTGATTTTGGAAAAAATTCATTGTGTGTTTGCCATAATCATGTTGTGTGAATCATATGATACGTATCTGTAGATTTAAACAGTTCAGTGCAGGGTGATTTTAATTTAAGTCACCTCTCAGAAATTTTGGCTTTAATCAAGCAATACTCTCAAAGAGTGCATTCTTCCTTCCCATAATCTTGAAACATTTTTTTCATATCTTGAAGATAGCAGATTTAATTTCCAGGAGGCCAATATTATACATTTTAGAAACAGTTATTCAGTTAGGAGATCTTTCAAATTAGTCTTGTAATTGTATCAGAGAACAAATTTTTATTTTATTTATCGGTAACTCAAGTCAACTTTGGAAAGAACAGCTGGGTTGTTCTCCTCACCCCTGTTTTAAAAAAATTCATTCGTTCGTTCATTTAATTTGTATCCCGCTCCTATTAGTGTCATGACACTGCTTTCGGTGGGTTAAAACAAATATAATGGAAAATAGAAACACCAAAAGCAGCAACAATAACCCTAAAAAACCACATATGGCATCGACTAATCATATAAACCCTGAGCAAATGGAGGAAAAGGGGAGGGGAGAAGGAAAAGGGGGGGGAAGGTGGTCAGCTATGATCAGTGTGGAAAGCTTCCCTGGAAAGTAGTGTTTTTAATTGGTTCCTTAATGTCAACAGGGATGGGGCTAGGCAGAGGTCCTCCAGAAACTGGTTCCATAAAGTTGGAGTCACCATGAAGAAGGCCCTAACTTTTGTAAATTATTTAAGGTTAGGCAGATGACATTAAGAAAAGACACTCTGACAAGTAACATGGGCCCAAACTGTGGAGGGCTTTGTATGTGAGTTTCAGAATCTTGAAAATGTCTCGGGTGCTATGGGCAACCAGTGGAAGCGGGCCAGAACCAGAGTGATGTGGTCAATTTTACTTGCATCCACCACCAGTCTGGCTGCCGCATTCTGGACCTGCTGAAGTCTCCAGATCAGGTTCAAGAGGAGCTCTATGTAGAGAGCATTGCAGTAGTTGATCTGGGAGATACCCAGGGCCTGCACCAAAGTCTTGAGGGAGTTCTTCTTCATCTAGGTAGGAGCAAAGTTGGGCAATTAGCCTAAGCTGGTTAAAGGCTGATCTGGATACAGCTGCAATCACGGACTTGCAAGAAACAATCCAGAAGAATGCCCAGTTTAGGGACCAACGCACATGGTCCCTAAACTGAAGCGGAATACCATCCCTCCATACCTATCAGAGGTCCCCCTTCCAGGAGCAAAAACTCTGTCCAGGTTCATTTTGAACTTGTTAGCCCTAGTCCATTCCAGTACTGCAACCAGGCAACACTCAAGCGTCTGGATGGCATCCACTGCAGAGGTGGTAACAGAGAGAATGAATTGTGTGTCATTACCATACTGATAACACCTTACTCAAAATCTCCTGATGTCCCCATAGCTTAACATGGATGTTAAACAGCATTAGGGGTGGTGCTGATCCATGAGGAACCCCATCCCATAGAGTCCAAAGTAATTATACTTCCTCCCCTAGCTGAACTGTCTGGATGCTGTCGTAAAGGAAGGATGGGAGCCAGCTCATTTTCACATATAACTGTTAAAAAATATGTATATTTGTTTGCAAACACAGTTTGCAAACTTAACAATTTACTGATGGTATCTTCTGAATTGAGATAGAAAGTTTAACCTAAATAATCTATACAGAACCATGTGGAACTACATGAAACTGAGGCCTCATAACTTTTACTAACAAAACTCTTTGGAAAAGATTATATGAATACTTTGACTTAGGGTATAGAATTATAAGTAACAATCTGTTTCATTGCCACATAACAGAATTAGAATTTGTATTTGTTATTCCATAATGAGATCTCCAAACTATAATGCTTTTAAATTAGTACTATAATGAAGTAGGGCTTTTTTAAAACAGCAAGCATCGAACAACCAAAAAATTTAAATTCACTTAAAAATTTTTTAAAAACATTTAAATTAAAAATCCATCATTAATTTTTATTCACTCTGGCTCAGTAAGCTGTAACTGATTTAAGTCGGTGACTGTGTTATAGTCATGTTTACATTATATAAATGCAAGTTTTGTTATTTCTCAGTGGCGATATACTGTAAAACTGCTTCTCATTGTTCAATAGTTTGGGTCAATTACAAATGTTTAGTTATTTTCAAAAATGATAAACAAAGACATATAAAACATGACCGTTTGAAGAAGCTGGAAATGTCTTTCAGTTGTAAAAATAAGGTGTCCACTGGCTATTTATAGAACTGTTCATTCATTTCTCCTTTTTTGCTTTCCATGCCCAATAGGGACTTACCCCTTTGTGACCTCGTCAAATTGCACTGTGGGAGGTGTTTGCACTGGCTTGGGTATGCCACCTCAGAACGTCGGGGAAGTATACGGAGTTGTGAAAGCATACACCACTAGAGTTGGAATTGGTGCCTTTCCTACAGAGCAAGATAATGTAAGTATAATACAAAAATAAATAAAAATGTTTGGAACTAAGTAGATGAATGTAATTCTCAGCAAAATTATTTATGGCTGTACTGTTATTAGCATTAGCTCACATATATTGCATTCTAATCTATCTGAAATATAACTTTCTCAGTCCACAGATCTGCTGCCTTAGTGTATGTACTTTAAAAGATTTTTAACTACTGCTTATTCCTTAGTCCTGCAGAGCCTATAATTCTGTCGGAGAGCAAGCTGAATTCTGTTCTTGCTCATGAATCAGCAGCAGAATTGTTAACTAAGTTCCAGTTGCAGAATCTTTGTTACTAGTGGCGATGCACCTGAACCAGTTTGCCTTTTTGGTCCCAAGCTTGAATTAACAGGACTAGCAATTTAAGATTGCCAAGGATTTCAGAGCTACGCAAACAATAATTGAGCTACAACACTCCTGTGAGGTAGCAGGTAGGCATTAAACAGCAAAATCAACATGGAGTGTTGAGAAATGGCCTGCTCAGCTAATATTTTCACATTGATACTTGTGGTCATAAAAGTCTAATTGTATCTTCAACATCAGTAATGGTTCTGCACATCAAGTGGGGTGGGAATCTGAAAATATATTTTGTTTTTATCTCATAATTCTTTTTAGAAACAGAAATTAATAATACTTCTCAAATGTATTAACATGATTATGTTCTGTTTCTTAGGAAATTGGAGAATTGCTCCAGACACGAGGAAAAGAAGTTGGCGTAACCACAGGCCGAAAGAGAAGATGTGGCTGGCTTGATCTAGTTTTACTTAGATATGCTCACATGATTAACGGATTTACTGCGTGAGTAGTTTGCAGTGATGATAAGATGACCGTCATATACACCATAATAGGTTCTTCTTTGTGGCCTCTGTAAATCACACTATGGGTAATCTGCACATGCGTGGTGCCTTGTGAGAATATTCTAGAGCTTCTGCAGTAGCAAAGGAAAATACATTAGCATAGACCCCTCCCCCCTGGTATATGTATCTTGGCGCTAAGGCTTTCCCTTCAATTTCTTTCAGCTGTCACGTTGAGAGCCTGAGAAATCTGAAAACGAAAGTAGAAAAGTTACTGAAATTTATTTATTATTATCCTTATTATTTTCAAAACAAGATACTTAGGGCTGAAGCATCCCCCCCTTTCCGTTGTTTTCTTTTCAAAACCAGTTCTTGGTTCATGGCCTTTTCAGGCCCATTTAAAAGCTGCGTAGCCTGTGATAACGAGATCCAGCTCTCTGCAGCCTCCCTAAATTCTTTTTTTTTTTTTTGCCTCGGTGAGGCCATCAAACTTCCTTGTCCCCTCACTGCAAAAACTTTAAATGTGGAGTTCTCTGCAGTTGCCTCTCTAGACTCAAGCTTCGGCTCCGGGGGCAATCCCTAAAGCCATGGATGAAGCTATTTCCAAAGTGAAAAAGCAGCACCTGTCAGCTACTCCATCTTGTTCCAATTGATAACCTACTCTGCCCTCGATATCGACAGTCACGTGAGTGCAGAAAGCCAAACATTCGACGTTGAAACCCTTGACATTGAAAACAGCCTCTAAGAGAAAACCTTCCATGGACGCTTCCTCGGCACCAGAACTGTCACCTCCGAAGAAGGCTAAGTCTTCAAAATCAAAGCCCTCCAAAACCGGTTCCCCGATTCCACAACCACCAGAGTCTAGAAACCTCATCTACGTTGGTTCTCTTTCAGATCAGGAGGCACTTCCACCTCATCAACCTCACCATTGCAGTCTCCCGAATAGGAACAGCGTGTTGATCGACTCACGGCTTCCCCTGATAGCCCGTGACAATCCTCGGGCTCTCCAAGTGAGTCTTCACACATTGCCTTGTCAGATATCCATGATGCTAAACACAACCAGAAACTGTGCCTTACTCTGCCCCTTTAGACCTACCACCTCGGCCTCTAGCATATTAACAAAGGCACCAAGCCTATATGAGCATCCTCTTGTCTTCTCGCAGGGAAAGAGATCATGCTCAGCACTATCATCGGTATACCTTTTGTGCCAATCAGTACCTAATGGAGAAGCCCGCCAAACGCTATCGGCCAGTCGCTCTTCCTGGTCCAGCAGTGCTGCCCTTGCAGGATGTCTCTGCTAGGGAGCCTTCGGTGTCAAAGCAATCTTATTACCATGATCACCAAGGACTACCTGGCACCTCTTATCTGCCAGCACCTAGGAGCCCCAACCAAGCCGATCAATACTTCTCAGCTCTGGGCATATTGCAGCACTGGCAAGTTACTATTTTCCTCTCCATTAGGAGGACCACGAGCGCTCATCCTGCTCAGCGTCACCGGTGTCTGTCTGTTCCACCATAATACAGTGTGGTCCATTGACGCCTTTATCACCTCGACAGCTCTCAACACCGACAGCAACCTCCATTTCGACACACCTCGATACCGACTCTTGATACTGACAATCCTCAATATTGAACACTGTCCATCGATGCATCTTCCATGTTGGCAGTAGTCAAAGACCCTTGCTATCAACCCCTGTGCATGGATGCACCTTCAACATCCATACCGATTGATGACCCTCGATATCGACCACTATCCACCGATGCCCATTCGACATCAACAGCTCGGCATCAACATCAATATTTTGAGGACCAGCTGCATGACGTCGATATCAATCAATAGTTGATTGACTCGACGCATGATGCCAATCCATCTGATCATGGTTCCGGGCCTCAAACACCTTCAGGACTTTTAACATCGCTGGATTCTGACCTGGCAGACACAGACCCTCCATCACCAGTAGAAGATTTGCAAACCTATGCTCAACTAATGATTTGTATTGCCAAATACCTCGACCTACAAATCCATAGACCCACTACTGGAGCAGGAGATCATCTTTATGATCCCATCTCTAAAGATACTATCAAACCGGTCCATATCTCCATACTCTCTTCTCTCCTGAGCACAGATAGACATTCTTTGACCAAACCAGCATCATATCATTTGGTGTCAAAACGCATGGACAACCTTTATTGAGTACATGATTCAGGCACAGTCATTTACAGAAACAACCAGCTCCCAATTCCATATTCATCAAAGCTTCACAATCTTGCTCTCCCTGAAGATAAAAGGGTCTTAGCACAAACTTTTCAACAAAAGGGTCTTTCGATGGCGAAACAACAGATGCTATCTGCTAGACACACAGTTGATGCCACACCTAAATCAATGGCTACCTCTGTAGTGCTTTGACATTTCTCCTGACCTAGAACCACAGGTCTCGTCGAGGACGTGCATGTGTGCGTTAAAGATCTTGCATTCAATAGAGTTGGTCTCTTCAATGCAGAGACTGATGACATTCTTGAGAATGTTCAGAAAAAGAGGACAGCTGCCAGGCATTTGGGAGTCTACCCCACGCACCAGCAACACTCTCAGTGCAAACAGTGGCGCAGCCCTTACACCTCCTATCAAAAATTTCAACAAGATCCTCAAACATCTTACATGCCTTACTACAAACAACAACCTTACTGAGTCAAACCTCACCAACAAACCACAACTATGCGCAATGACCTTAAGCCTAAGCATTATGTTTGACATCCAACCAGCTGAGATCCCAATACCACCTCCCACCTCTCCTCCTCCCCTTTGGAAGCACTTACCTACATGGAAAGACATTGCTACAGATGCCTGAGTGCTCTCCATCATAAGAAACGGGTACCACATTGAATTCCACCAGCTTCCTCCACCATCACACATCCGTTGCACTCTACGAAAAGAAATATAGTCGTTACGACTCAAAGATGCTATAGAACCAATACCACTACAACACGCAGTCATAGGTTTTCCTCTTGCTATTTCAACATCCCCCAAAAAAGATGGAGGCCTTTGCCCCATCCTCAACCTCAGGGAGCTAAATCAATACATCACTACCACCAAGGTCCCCACATGATTACCCTCGAGTCTGTCCTCCTCTTACACCACAGACAAGACTGGTTTGCAGTCATAAACCTAAGACATGCCTATTTTTCATGTCTCCATTCATCCTTCTCACAGGCCCTACTTATGCTTCCAACTCAGAACTCAGGCCTACCAATTCAAAAGACTTCCATTCAGACTCAGAACAGCTCCTTGAGTATTTACCAAATGCATGACCTCGTGGCAGCTTACCACAAACTTCACATCTCCCCATACATCTATGACTGGCTACTCGTAGCACGCTCCCATCACACAGCACAATGAGACATTTACTTCATTTTGTCTCTTCTCCAGGATCTCAGCCTTGCAGTAAATCTACACAAATCCAAGTTAAAACCCACAAGGCTGGTTCATTATATAGGAGCATTTATAGACTCCAAACATGCTTCGGTGTTTCTTCCAACAGACAGACACCTCAATCTAAGCTCCTTACTACGTTCCTTCACTCCTCATGCACTTGCATCTGCTTTAACAGTCCAACGTGTTTCAAGCACTGTGGTGTCCATGACTGCTGTGGTTCAGTATGTTTCCTGAAAATAAGATAACTCCAGGCATGGTTCCTAGTCTTGTTCAACTCATTGACAGACTCACCACACATGTTGCTGCGAGTCACTCCAGAACTCGCCTCCCAGCTTACATGGTGGCACTCTACTCAGAACCTGACGATGGGACGGCCCGTTCAACAACCCTGCCCACAAATCCAGGTTACTACAGATGCCAGGCTAAGGGTCTTTCTCTCTCATCCCTCAAGGTCTACCTTTCTGCAATTGTGGCTTACCAACGACCAACCTCTCAGGCAACAGACATCCTACTCTGAAACGTTTCCTCAAGGGGCTGTCACACCCCTACCACAGATGTCCACCTTCCACCACCTCAGTGGTCACTGACATTGGTCCTTCAACAACTTACAAGGGCCCCATTTGAGCCCCTGGTGTCAACTGACCTCATGTTACTTACCTTCAAAATGATATTTCTTGCGTCCATCATGTCAGCTCGACGTCCTAGTGAACTTGCGGCCTTAAGGTCTGACTACCCTTATCTCCAGTTTTACCCAGATGTTAAACTTTTTGTAGATATTTCTTTTCTATCCAAGGTTGTCTCCCAGTTCCACCTATTCCAACCTTTAGTTCTTCCTTTTTTTTCCTACTCGTCAAAAAAAGGATCCTCCATACTCTGGATGTAAGACAGGCTCTTGCTTTTTACATAGCCTGCACTCAGTCCTTCAGATGCTCAGCAAGACTTTTTTGTCAGCTACCAACTTCCTGCCAAGGGTCTTCAAGTTACCCCGCAGAGAATATCTAACTGGGTTGCGTCTACCATCCAGCTTGCTTATCAGCTTGCTCAAGTTCCAGTGCCACAGAGTATCTGCCCTAATTCTAGGACGCTGGTAACATTTACTGCATTTCTTTGGGGCATCCCCATACCAGACATCTGCACCTCGGCCACATGGCCACAGCCGTCCACGTTTGTCAATCACTACAGATTGGATGTTCAGCAGTAATCTGATGCTACTTTTGGGCGTGCTGTGTTATCATCTACCTTGGCGTGACACCCTCCTCCGGGTACGGTAGCTTTTTAGTCACCCATAGTGTGATTCACAGAGGCCACAAAGAAGAACAGGGTCCCTACCTGTAATTGTAGTTCTTCAAGTGGACCCCTGTGATTCACACATCCCTACCCGGCCTCCCCACTGTCACACCCTTTTCGTTATGTGGCGGTTGACCTAACTGAAGGGAGAGCCTTGGTGCCAAGATACATATACCAGGGGGAGGAGTCTATGCTAATGTATCTTCCTTTGCTATCACAGAAGCTTTAGAATAGTCTGACGAGGCTTTGCGCATGCACAGATTACCCACAGTGTGAATCACAGAGGTCCACTCAAAAAACTATAATTACAGGTAGGTAATCTGTTGTTTTGTTCCTCCCTTGCCTTCCCCTTGCCAAGGAAGTGCTGGCTGAGTGGCCCTGGCTTTGCTCTTGCTTTTTGTTGTTCATTCAGGGAAGGTGAGGAGGACATGCAGTATACTTAGCAAATGCCTCAGGAGCTGAGTCTCAACCTCGGCAGGACTGAATACATCCAAAATGATTGAAAGTGACAGACAATTTGATTTTCATTCTGGTTTTCTCATTCAGTTGCCTTAGGTGCCTTATTGATAACCTACAGTGGATGTTGGTACAGAAAATCTATGTGTTTCAGACATAGAGAAATAAATGTTGTTAGCTGTTCTTAACCTTTCCTCAAATTTCAGCATAATTGGGTATGGCAGAGTTGGGCAACTTCCAAGGGCTTAGGACTATTTTTGCTTTCCCTTGGAACTTGTAAGGCCCACATGCTCCCTTCCATTTCCAAAAGTGCACAGGGGGAGAATCAGCCCCCAAATACAAATTGTGTCACCTGGGACCTCTGAGGGAAATCATTTGCAGTATCTGTCCCGTTTCACCTCTCATGGTGCCTGTTTCAGTCCTCAAAAATATTTTTAGAAGCAAGAATGGACTGGATGTTAACTTCCAAGGCGAGGCCTTTGAGTACCTTACTTTCATTTTGGAGACAAGAAATGTTATGACAGATTTTGTTCTGAACCCTCTGTGAGGGTGCCCATGACCCACAAACTACACTTTGCAACCCCTGGTGTATGGTGTCCTGCAGGGACAACTCTTTAAGGATGGGGGCACTATGTTTCAGTGGTGCTAATAGTTTCCTCTAGGGACGTGGTAGCGCTGTGGGTTAAACCGCAGAAGTCTCTGTGCTGCAAGATCAGAAAACCAGCAGTCATAAGATTGAATCCACGCGGCAGAGTGAGCTCCTGTCACTTGTCCCAGTTCCTGCCACAACCTAGCAGTTCAAAAGTATGTAAAAATGTGAGTAGATGAATAGGTACCACCACGGTGGAAAGGTAACAACGTTCCCTGTTTAGTTGCACTGGCCACATGACCATGGAAACTGTCTACGGACAAACACTGGCTCTATGGCTTGGAAGCGGGGATGAGCACCGCACCCTAGAGTCGGACACAACTGGATTAAATGTCAAGGGGAACCTTTACCTTTACCTAACCTCATGTCCTCTAGGGGCCAAAAATTAGTTTCAAAAACTTACAATACTATTTCAAAGACAGATAGGGTTTATAAAATGTAGATGATACATCAAACTGTTCTTTTTAGCTTTTATCTTAGAACGTCAGGGACCGTTTAAATTAATAAAATTTAGAGAAATTAAAAAGTAATAGTGGCTAAGCTGTTTAAAATACTTGGTTTTGACTGCTATTAATGAGATGACTAGTTGAATATATTTGACAAATTTCTCAGTGTGCCATTCCTAGTGATGTAAGGTACTGTATTTTAGTGATGCAGATCTATAAAGCTACAGACCCATAATTAAACATTTGCCTTCTTTGAAAAGTTACATTAGATTTAAAATCAGATTTGTATTTCCTCTATGTATAACTAAACCCTGAACATTTTCTTTTGAATCAGACTGGCTCTTACCAAATTGGATATCTTGGATGTATTTCCTGAAATTAAAGTTGGTATTGCTTACAAAATAGATGATGAAATCATACCTCATTTTCCAGGTGAGTGTGTGTGAGAATGTGTGTATCCATACTTGTGTGTTTTCATACTATACATTTACCACTAAGTTTAATGTTATGAGTGCTCCAGAAAATATCTCAGCATTATGGTGGTACAGTTCTCCTGTAATGATTTTGCAGTCTCCAATAAGAATAGCAGTTACGTATGCTACAGAATAACAGATTAGTCCATTTTCTTTTCTGTTGCCTTTTCCTTTGTCTCCTCTGTAAATAAAGTATTAGGATAGTTTCATATTCTTAACCAGAATACATATGTTCCTGAAAGATAAGAAACATCAGACTTGCTTTTTTTCCCATTGTGATGGATTACAATGGAACCTCTACATACAAACTTAATCCGTCCCACAAAAAGTTTGTTAGTTGAAATGTTCCTAAGTAGAAGCAAACTTTCCCATAGGAATTCATTGAAAACCATTTAATCCATTCCAGCTGTTTTTCGTTCTTATCTAGAGGCGCCGTTCTTAAATTGAAGCGTTAGTTCCCATAGGAACTAATGCAAAGCCGGTTAATCTGTCCTCTACCACTAGAGGGAAAAATGGTCTTCTTTTGACCTAAGATGAATTTAGGTGTAAAAAAGGGCAGAAAAGGAGGGGGGGGACACACCTTCTAAACAGAACACCTTTAAAAACAAGCACCTTTTAGCTTAAATAAAGGGCAAGAGAACATCTTTTGAACAGAACACCTTTTTTAAAAAAGCACATTTTAAAGCCAAGCACCTTTTAGGTACAAAAAGGGCAGGAAAGGAGGGAGGGAGGGGAACACTTTAAAAACAGAACACCTTGAAAAGCACCTTTTAAGCCAAGCCAAGCACCTTTTAGGTAAAAAAAAAGGGGGGGCAGGATAGGAGGGAGGGAGAGAGGGAACAATGGGGAAAAGAAGAAAGAAGGTCATCACTGGGGCACACAGACCCCTCAGACAAAGGTTTGTGCTTTTAAGCACAAAAAGAGAGAAGACACAGAGAGAGAAGACAGTGGGGGGAGGGGAGAGAGTTTAGAGGCTAAAACACATTTTAAACCCACACATTTTAACAACATTTTTAAACCCATCAACTTTTAAACAAAACACATTTTAAAACGAAACGAGCAATTTTTAAACTCACCCACTAACACCTTATAAAACAAAAGAGAGGTCACTTAGATTTCGGTATCTTCTGGAGGACATCACTGTGACTTCTGGCTGGAGGATGGTGAGATGGCCATCACTGTGAGGTAGAGGCCCCTCCTATGGGTCATCTTCTCCAGGAGTTCCCTGTCGCTGTCTCTTGGCCGCAGGCTCTATCCGAGTGAAAAATTTGTCCAATTTTGTCTGTTTCATCCTGCGCTGCAGAATCTTTCTGAGGTGGCTGACCGCGTTGTCAATTCACCATGTCCATAACGTCCTGTCAGTCTTGTTTGGGTGCTGCCCCTCAAAGAAGTCCTGGCACTCGGTCCATTTCTTGCAGATGGATTTTATCTTCTCGCTGCTAACCTGTGGTGCCTCTTCCTCAGTGGAAAGCTCCTCCACAAAAGCCTTGTGCTGCTCCGTTTGCAGTTCTGCAAGTTCTTCTGTGGTCAACTCTTCTTTGTGGTCTTCAACCAGCTCCTCTACATCGTCCTCGTCTACATCCAGACCCATGCCTTCACCCATGGAGACGATATCCCTCACTACTTGTTCACCAGTCACCTCAGTGCCACTGTCTGTGACACATTCTGGCCACAGTTTCTTCCAGGCTGAGTTCAAGGTCGAAGTTGTGACATCTTGCCAGGCCTTGCCGATGAGTCTGACACTGTGGAGGACATTGAAATGGATCCTCCAGAAATCTTTCAGGGTCAAGGACATTTCCTTGATGACATTGAAGCACCTGGTGAAGAGTGCCTTTGTGTACAGTACAGCTTCTTGAAGTTGCTGGTCACTTGCTGGTCCATGGGCTGCAGAAGAGGTGTTGTGGGGGAGGAACTTGACCCTGATGAAATCCTCGTCAATATCATCCACCAAGAATGGGTGTGTCAGGGCATTGTCCATCAGAAGAAGGCACCTCTCAGGAAGCTGGTTGTCCCAAAGATATTCCTTCACAGTGGGTGCAAAGACTTCATAGAGCCATTCCATAAACAGCTGCCTTGTCATCCAAGCTCTTGAGTTGGCTCTTCACATGGCAGGCAGTGTGGCCTTGTTAACTTTCTCTCAGTGGAATGGGAGAGGAGTCTGGGAGTGGTGCACCAGCAGAGGCTTGATCTTCAGATTGCCGGTGGCGTTGGCACAGAACAAAAGGGTCAATCTGTCCTTTTGTGGGGTTTGTCGGGTTTTTGGCCTGGCATTTTCTGTTCCTCCTGAGCAATGTAGGTTCTCCTGGGCATCTTCTTCCAGAATAGCTCTGTCTAAACACAGTTGAAGACTTGCTGTGGGAGATAGTCTTTTTCCTTGATGAATTGGGCAGACTCCAACTTGCAGGCTTCTGCAGCGTCATGGTCAGAACTTGCAGCCTCCCCATGTCTTGTAACGCAGTCGATGGCACTTCTCTTTTGGAACTTCTGAAACCACCTCCTGTTGGCTCTGAATTCTTCTTGTACTGCACTTCCAGAGGGTTTCTTTCCATTAAATCACTGTGCAGCTTCTTCGCTTTTTCACAGATCTTGGCTCCACTGATGCATTCCCCTTCCAGCTGTTTCTCGTTGATCCAGACCAGTAAAAGTTTTTCCACTTTTTCCATCAGGGGTGGTCTTTTCTTTGATAGGATTGTGACTCCTTTTGCAACATCAATGTCTTTCAAGACATCTTTCTTCTTTAAGATGGTGCCGATGGTTGACTTTGCCATCTTGTATTCAGCAGCCAGTTCCATCACACGCATGCCAGCTTCATGCTTTTTGATGATGTCCTTTTTTGTTTCAATGGATATGATAAAAATTTTTTGCCTTTGCCCTGTTCTTTCTTTGGAGCCATGACTATGTACTGTTCAGCACACCACAGTACACAAACCCAAAAAGGCACAGAATCCAGCAACCATTATTCAAGCCGCACATCACAAAAAGAGAGCATGGGGGGGTAGAGACTTGAGTCTAAATTCCGTTTTAAAGCCTGCTTGCACCAGCAGTCAGCAACCATTACTGTATTCCAGCACAGAACTCATCTCAAAAAGAGAGCATGGGGGCAGTTAAGACAATGGGTGTGGGGTGGGGGGAGGCCTTGAGTCTACGGTAGACTCTATTTTAAAACTCTTATTTTAAACTCCATTTTAAAACCTGCCTGCTTGCATCAACAACCAGCAGTCATCATTACAGCAAACAGATCCCCAAAGAAAAAAAAGACTTTGGAGTCACATTTTAAAACAACAGAGAGGTCATGGTATACAAACCCTAGAAGCCAGAGAATGCAAAAATAAATAAATTTTACATTTTAAAACTACAGTCTAATTTTCACATTTAATTTAAATTTAATATTACAGTCTACTTTTTACATTTTAAATCCACACTGCAAGACCCATCAGGGCACAGAAACAACCCCCCACACCTAGCCCTACCCCCCCACCAAGCTGCAAAAAACCCTGTACAGTACAGTAAATACAGTGCACTCATACAGAACAGGCAGTCTGTCTCTGTTTAAAAAAAGGAAGTTGAAAAATCAAAAATTAAAAAAGCCAAAAAATACAGTCCGTACAGTACAGTACCAGGCAGTACTGTACAGTACCAGGCAGTACCAGGTAGTCTGAAGACTCTCTCCCTGTCCGCTCTCTAACCGCTTGGATGAGTGATGTTGCAGACAAGCAGCCTCTTCGCTGGCCAATGGTCAACTGAAAGTTCAAATTTTGCACTTTCCCTGCCTCCCCCAAGGTTTTTTTCTTCATATGTTGAAGGTCTGTTCACAAGTACAAGCAAAATTTTCCGAACAGAGCTGTTCCTAAGTTGGTTTGTTCGTAGGTAGAGACGTTTGTAAGTAGAGGTTCCACTGTATCTGCGATAAAAATATGGCCAGAATCTTAGTGCTTTCATATGCCAATGTAGATGAAATGGTGTAAATCTCTTGACAATTGGTTGTTAGTTAAGAAATACAGGCTTATATTGATTGTTGTGTACCAAGTCATATGACTGGTGCAAGATGAGATATACAAATGTTGACTGCTTCACTGGCGACAATCTGCTGTACCATAATAAGATTCTATGAAATGGTTACCTCTTTTATTCCTTTGTTCACTTGTAATTGCAGTTTCCTCACCTGAGTAATTGATTAGTCTGATTTAACTGGTAACTAGAATTAGAGTAAAATTTTTGTAGCAGTTTTATGTTGATGTATTGCTGGTGTTCTTTCTTCTTAGCAAACCAAGAAGTCTTAAATAAAGTACAAGTTCAGTATGAAACCTTCCCAGGGTGGAAAACAGACATATCAAATGCAAGAACCTTTGATGAACTGCCTATAAATGCACAAAACTATGTTCGATTTATAGAAATGGAGCTAGGTGTTCCAGGTAGGATTCATTTGTACACCCTTCAGAGAAAGACGTCCTGTTGACAAAGGGCAGAATCCTGTTGTTATAACTTTGCATGATGTAACCAAGATGTGGTGCTGGAAACATCTAATTTATAGTGTTTATGTTTCTGTCCTCCTCCTTTAAGGTTCTCAGGCTCCCTAGGACTCCCTTTTGCCCTGGGGAAACCTTGAAGGGGGAGCTTTGAATACTAATGCTGCTGGATTGCTGTTGGTTCAAAGTTACCTAACTGGATTTTGCCTAGAGAATGTTCTTGTTAGCTATTTTTTACTTTGCTCTGTCATAGATTTTGCTCTATATACACATCTGCGAAACCATGATCAGTAAAATGACACTGAGGGTCTGCATACTATTTTATAATAGTATATAATTTGTGTGGGTACCTATTTCTATTAGCAGTCTCTCCTGCAAGTCACAATCAGTGACAGAGTAGCTCCAAGGAATCTTAAGCTCTCAGCTTATTTCTAGATCTCTTCATGTTCTTGACTTCTAAAAAGGGAATTGGTTTAGAGGCAATAATTTAAGACAACAGTTTTAGTTGATTGGGAAGATCCTTTTGAACTATTGTGAGTTATTAGAGATGAGTAGCTTACAATTAGTGTTCTCTAATAACTCTGTTCTCCACGGATTGCTGCCTTGTCATGGCGAAGGGGCTTCAGTAATTCAGAAAAGCTATGAGCTGTGCAGTGCAGGGACAGCCAAGATGGACAGGTCATAGTAGAGAGTTCTGACTAAATGCAATCCACCTGTAGCAGGAACTGGCAAGCCACTCCAGTATCTTTGCCAAGAAACCTCCATGAACAGAAACAAAAGGCTAAAAGATACGATGCTGGAAGTGATCCCCTCAGGTCAGAAGACGTCCAACATGGTACTGAGGAACAGCAAAGGATAAGTACAAGTAACTCCAGAGCTAATGAAGTGGTTGGGCCAAAGCCAAAAGGGCGCTCAGCTGCAGACGTGCCTGGAAATGAAAGGAAAGTCCGATACTCCAAAAAAAAAAATACTGCATAGGAACCTGGAATGTAAGATCTATAAACCCTGGTGAGCTAACTGTGGTCAAACAGGAGATGGCAAGAATAAACATTGAGATCCTGGGCATCAGTAAACGAAAATGGATGGCAATGGGCAAATTCAGTTCGGACAATTATAATATGTACTATTGTGGGGAAGAATCCCATAGAAGAAATGGAGTAGCCCTCATAGTCTACAAAAGAGTGGGAAAAGCAGTACTGGGATATAATCTCAAAAATGATAGAATGATTTCAATATGAATCCAAGGCACACCTTTCAGCAGCACAGTAATCCAAGTTTATGCACCAATTACCAATGCTGAACAGGCTGAAATTGACTAATTCTATGAAGACTCACAAGACCTTCTAGAACTGACACCAAAGAAAGATATTCTTGCCGTTAAAGGGGACCCGGAATGCTAAAGTAGGGAGCCAAGAGATAAAAAGAACAACAGGTAAGTTTGGCCTTAGATTTCAAAACAAAGCAGGGCAAAGGCTAATAGAGTTTTGTCAAGAGAACAAGCTGGTCATCACAAACACTCTTTTCCAAAAACACAAGAGGCGACTCTACACATGGACATCACCAGATGGGCAATACCAAAATCAGATTGATTATATTCTCTGCAGCCAAAGATGGGGAAGCTCTACACAGTCAGCAAAAAGAAGATCTGGAGCTGATTCTGGCTCTGATCATCAGCTTCTTATAGCAAAATTCAAGCTTAAACTGAAGAAAGTAGGAAAAACACTGGGCTAGTCAGGTATAATCTAAATCAAATCCCTTATGATTACATAGTGGAAGTGAAGAACAAATTTAAGGAATTAGATTTGGTGGACAGAGAACCTGAAGTACTATGGATGGAGGCTCATAACATTGTACAGGATGCAGCAACAAAAACCATCTCAAAGAAAAAGAAATGCAAGAAAGCAAAGTGGCTGTCCAACGAGGCCTTACAAATGGCACAGAAGAGAAGGGAAACAAAATACAAGGCAGATAGGGGAAGCTACAGAAAATTGAATGCAGATTTCCAAAGAATAGCAAAGAAAGACAAGAGGGCCTTCTTAAATGAACAGTGCATAGATATTGAGGAAAATAATAGAAAGGGAAAAACCAGAGAACTTTTTTTTAAAAATGGAGATATTAAAAGAACCTTTTGTGCAAAGATGGACATGATAAAGGACAAAAATGATAGGGACCTAAAAGAAGCAAAAGACAAGAAATGTGGCAAGAATACACAGAGGAATTATACCAGAAAGTTCTGGATGTCACGGACAACCCAGATAGGCGGGGTATAAATCAAATAAATAAATAAATAAATAAATAAATAAATAAATAAAAACTGTGATTGCTGACCTTGAGCCACACATCCTGGAGGATGAATGTAAGTGGGCCTTAGAAAGCATGGCTAACAACAAGGCCAGTAGAGCTGATGGCATTCCAGTTGAACTATTTAAAATCTTAAAAGATGACG